AACAGTGCTATTACTTATGCTAGTAATACTACTAAGAAGACTAGAGGTATAATACCCATAAGAAGAAGAATCGGATGAATAAGCAAATAAGAAGAATATTAATATTAAGAAGAGGAGGAGAAGGAGGAGGAGGAGGAGGACCAGTGTAAACCCAAGAGTCATCAACGATGTTGGACTAAACCCTTCCTCCAAGCTCCCTCTTCATATGCCCCTACAGCGGTGCATTTCCACAGGGATCTGCCTCGTTGGAATACAGCCGCTTGAAGACCCTGAAGCATGCCAACAAATTGTTCTAGGGGTTCCAACGCCACGGACCAACCTGACTGTTTTGTCTTGAGGATCCTGAATCGTGCCAGAACGCCACTCCTGGGACTTCAGCATCGCGAATCAACGTAACTGTTGCACCTTCATAATCCTGAATCCTTCTGAAACGCCAGTTCTGGTACGCTGATCATGGGAATCCGCGAAGCTCTTGCAACTGTTAAGAACGAATGTGCGCGGCGCTAAGGCGAGAACCACATTTTGAAAGGGAACCGCCCTCACTCCGTGAAGCTCTTGCACATTTCTAGAACGAATGTGCACGGCGTTCAGGCGAGCGCCACATTTTGACAACCAGCCGCCCTCAATTTGTGAAACTGTTGTCGACTTTTAAGTTTCAGGGTCATAAAGGTTGAGGAAGTCTCAGGCGACACACCCGGACCGCCCTAAAAACTGGCCTCCGGGAGGGGGAGGAGGAGGAGGAGGAGGAGGAGGAGGAGGAGGAGGAGGAGGAGGAGGAGGAGGAGGAGGAGGAGGAGGGGAGGAGGAGGAGGAGGAGGAGGAGGAGGAGGAGGAGGAGAAGGATGAGGAGGAGGAAAACAGGAGGAGAGGAGGAGGAGGAGGAGGAGGAGGAGGAGGAGGAGGAGGAGGAGGAGGAGGAGGAGGAGGCAGGAGGAGGAGGAGGAGGAGGAGGAGGAGGAGGAGGAGGAGGAGGAGGAGGGAGGAGGAGGAGGAGGAGGAGGAGGAGGAGGAGGGGGAGGAGAGGAGGAGAGGAGGAGGAGAGGAGGAGGAGGAGGATGGAGAAGAAGAAGAGAAGAAGAAGAAGAAGAGGGGAGGAGGAGGAGGAGGCAGGGGTGAGGAGGAGGAGGAGGAGGCGGAGGAGAAGTAGGAGGAGGAGGAAGAGAGGAGGAAGGGGAGGTCGAGGACGATGACCGAAGACAAGGAGGAGGCGCGAGGAGGAGGAGAGAGGAGGAAGGAGGAGGAGGAGCGAGGAGGAGAAGGAGGAGCATGGCAGGGGAAGGAGGCGATGAGGAGGGAGGGAGGAGGGTGGAGGGATGGCCAGGCCGCCCATGAGGGGATACCGGATTTCTTCTCTTCCTCTCCTCTCATCCTCCTCCTCTCCCCTCCCATCCTCCTCTCCTCTCCTCCTCCTCCTCCTACTCCTACTCCCCCCTCCCCTCCTAATCCTCTCCTCCTCCTCCTCCTCCTCCTCCTCCTTTCTCCTCCCTCCCCTCCGTCCTATCTGCAGTTTATTCTATTTGAGCACTGCTCTTCTCTCTCCCTCTCTATCTCTCTCTCGCTCTCTCTCTCTCTCTCTCTCTCTCTCTCCCGAGGATGGCTAGGGAGTCGCCCGCCCCCTTCCACGCATGTGTTCACATACACGACGTCAAATATTTGTCTTTATCCGAGGCGGGAATTTATGCATGACCACCGCCTGGAGGGTCAGTTTTCGGAGCCTCGGGAGGCGGTGGATATGGACAGCACTGCTCTTCTCTCTCCCTCTCTATCTCTCTCTCGCTCTCTCTCTCTCTCTCTCTCTCTCTCTCCCGAGGATGGCTAGGGAGTCGCCCGCCCCCTTCCACGCATGTGTTCACATACACGACGTCAAATATTTGTCTTTATCCGAGGCGGGAATTTATGCATGACCACCGCCTGGAGGGTCAGTTTTCGGAGCCTCGGGAGGCGGTGGATATGGACATATTCGGGCCCCCGGGGGCCGAAATATATCCATATCCACCGCCCGCTGGGGCACCAGGACGTCGGTTCCCAGGCGGTGGATGTGGATAAATCCCCGCCTCGCACTTTACCCGTTTTTTTTCAATCGGGCCGGTTTCGGTGCCTCAGAATGGTGCTGCCGCTGCAGCGTTGGTTTCGTTCTACGATCGGCGCTGTGCTTTGGTCCTTCAGAGCGGCGCTCTCGCTCCAGCGCGGTCCAGTTTTCTGGATCCGAGTCCTTTCTCATCGTTGTCGTCCCCCTCCTTTCCCCTCCTCCGCCTTCCCCTGGTCCTCTTGCTCCCCCCGCCCTTTCCGCTCCAGTTCTCGCTGCTGCCGTTCGTCCTCGCCGTCCTCCTTCCTCCTCTTCCTCCTCCTCCTCATCCCTTTCCTCCTGCCCGCCCTCCTGCTTATCCGCCACCTCCGTCCTCTTCCTTATGAATAACTCATCCCTGTCGCACCTCAGGGCGTGTCCGTGGGCGGCTCGGGCGTTTCGCCTGTGACGTCTCCTCTGTTCATGATTCCTGAAACTGAAATTGGCAGCAGTTTCACGGATGGAGGTGGGTTGTTCCCAACCATCCTGTGGTGTTGGGTCTTCGTTTTGAAGAGACGGTGCCCCGCGTTCCTCCTCCTTCCCGCCCTCCTCCCCCTCCTCCCTGCGTTTCACCCACCCAGTACAGCGTTTCGTGGCCTCATAGGGAGCTCCACCGAAGGCCCCAGTGGCAGTGTTCGCATGGCGGCAGCGCGTTTTGGCGCACCCCTCACACGGTTCGTGGCCCTATAGGGAGCTCCACCGACGGCCCCAGCTGCAGGGTTCGCATGGCGGCCCCGCGCCATTTTGGCGCACCCCTCACACGGTTCGTGGCCAAAAGGGGGCTCCACCGAAGGCCCCAGTGGCAGGGTTCGCATGGCGGCCCCGTGCCATTTTGGCGCACCCCTCACACGTCCCATTTTGGTCCCACAGGGAATTCACTTTGCTTCGTCCCACCTGCCCTGCGGTTCTCACACTTGCGCATGGTTGATTCCTTCGCCAGGATAATTTGGTTTTCTCAATGTGTGCTTCGCCTTCGTGCCGCGCACACTCGTCCCTACAATTCTGCATCAGTTTCGCAAATAAAGGAGGGACAGTTTTTAACATGTAGCTTTGCCTCGGTGTCGTACACATTCCTGCAGAGCCAATTTAGGCAGTGGCAGTTGCATGTTTTCCACGTTTCCCCTTTTTCCACACGCGAGATGTGAAAGCGCAGATTGCGCATGTATTGAAAGCCTTTTTGGTTCTCCCAGTAAGTCTCCGCGGTCCTCCACGGAACTGCCGATAGACATCCGCTACAATTGCAATTGATTGGTAATTGGAGTGCGCATTGATTTTACTTGTGCGGATATGCGCGTTGATTTTAATTGACACCGTTTTGCACACTGATTTTGATGGTGGGGCAAGGGCATATCGATTTTACATGGGGGACGGGTTACTCGCAATCAATGTGTAAGCCGACTTCCAGTACAGACGACCTCTATCTCTGCCACAAGCGGTACATGTTCGCAGCAGCAAGTAGCAGCATCTGATTGCGATCGTGCAGCCGAAGGGTCCTGTGGCCCCCCCCGGGTCGCTTACAGTCGGGGCGCTGAAGAAGGAATCCTTCTCGTTGGGGAGGGGCTCCGTGTTCCTTCATTGTTTTACAGCTTGCCTGAGGTTTTCCTGGGGTTTTCGATGGGAAAATCAAAGTTTGATCGTTATTTAGGGTTCCTTAGGTCAACGCCTCGACTGTATTGATTCCAGCGCGGGCGTTAACGATTGAACGCCGTCCAGGGCCCGCTTCGGGCCCCGGGGTCCGCAACAGACTGCCCGAGGCGCAACGTCCGCTCGCAAGGTGGGCTCGGCGGCGGCTTCTCGGGGCCCCCCCGGCAGCGGAGAGGAGGCCCGTGGCCGAGCGGCCCCGCGCGGTGGGAGAGGGCAGGGCCCGCGTCGTCGGGGCAGGCACGTGCCGCACCCGGGACATACGGTCAGATTCGTTCGCCTCGGCCCCGATGGTGGACTTGGCTCCCCCCTGCATGTTGCCCTTTGCCTTCGAGGATCGAGTGCCTTGGAATCTCTTCCTCGGTGGAAGGCGGCGAGAGCCGTCGGAAGCCAGCGGAAGCAAAACTAGGGCGGTTCGGCGGCAGACGCTGGCGGACGGCCAGCGGATTGCGCTGCCAAGAGATGGCATTCGCTGGATCCTGGGTTTCCAGAGCCGGCCATGTAGACGGGGAGGATATCCGGACTCATGCGTTCTCCGCTCATGATGTGTGGTGACAGTGACGAAAGCCATCGGCTAGCAGCAGCAGCAGCAGCAGCAGCAGCAGCAGCAGCAGCAGCAGCAGCAGCAGCAGCAGCAGCAAGAAGCGCAGCCATAGGAGCCACACCTTGTCACGGTGACCACTTGTCACTCTTCCCCACTCCCCTCCCTTTCTGCCCTCTCCTCCCTCCCGCTCGTTTCCTCCACCCCCATCCTCTTCGCTCCGCTCTCCTCACCCCCGCTTTACAAATAGGAAGCCCGAGCGTCGAGGAGGGTGAGGAGTCGGTCTCTGATTTTCAGTGGCCAAGCGGACAGTCGTCGGGAGTGACAGTGCCAAGCTGATTTCAGCAGCAGCAGGAGCAGTAGCACCAACCCGCGCCGATGGTCAGCAGCAAGAGCAGCAGCAGGCAGCAGAGGCAAGCCGGCCGCGACCGCGGCGACCCGTGGCACTAGTGGCAATTGTGGCTCAGGGTGGGCTCGCCTCGAGCCATGCGGGCAGGGTCGGGGAGCTGAAGCTTCCTCGATCTTGCCCGCGCTCCATACCTGTATCGGCGGCGCGCCCAGGGGTCAAGGCAGAGGGGGTGGGCTTTCTCGGAAGGCTCGGAGGGCCTCCGGCCTCCTAAGAAGCCTTCGAAGCTCTCACCGAAGACGCGGTGGGCTTCTCAGAAGGCTGGAGGGCTTCTGCGAAGCCCCGCCGCCTGCTGAGGAGGCCTGTCCTCGCTCACTTCACCCCTCGGCGCGGCGCCGACTGCAAGCATGACGCTCGGCGCTGCAGATGGCCTCCCTGGCGGCAGCGCACCTGCTTCGCTGACGCTGCGGTTCAGTGACCCTGGCTTGGAGGCCGGCTTCGCCAAGCACCGCGTGCCTCTGCTCATATCCGGCATGCGCAAATGTTCTCTGTGTCTCGCGCTGCTGATCTTGGTCATCCTGATCATGGAGCAGGCGTGGGATAGGCGTCCCGAACGCTATGGCAGTCTCCTCGAAAGGGACGTGAGAGAGCGCGGCCATCTTGCTGTTACTTGCATTTTGTTCCTGGCGTTCTTCGCGTTCTGCACGTGGTCCTGTCCTTGCATGAACAGGACTCGGTGACACGCACAAGGGGGTGGTGCGAGGGGGTGGCTTTCTTTGAAGGTGTGCGGGCTTCTTAGAAGCCCTCCTGGTTTCTGAGAAGCCTTCTTAGAAGCCTTCGATCGGAAGCCCCGGCCTGCCTTAGAAGGCCGCCCCTTTCATACTCCCTGGCGTGTCGCCCAAGGTTGAGCGCTCGCGCGCTGGAGATCGTCGGTGTGTCCATGATTACCATTGGGTTAGTTGCACACACTTTCGCCATTCCATGGTATATGGCCCGTGTCCTGGGCTATGACGCAGAAGGTGTCATCAAAGGGGCCACCGATGCAAACTTGTTACTTGCCATTGATTGCGTTGTCACAGCAAGCCACTTGTTGTTGCCTATCAGATTCTTTACAATCGTTGCTATTGATTTGGCTGGCATTCTGGCATATATCGTTCCTGTGTTTGCACTCGGGGGGCCTGAGATGCACAACGCTCCGATTCACACGTGCTTTCTGGTTTGTCTCATTTGTCTGGCATCTCTAGGGAAACACGCCGTAGAATACCACGAGCGCTGCTCATATGTGCTAATCATCACGGAAAAGCGTCTCCGGTTCGAGTCGGAATTCGCATTGTCAGCGATGTCGGCGGGGCAGAAGGAGGAATCAACGTCTGGACGTCCCCCTTCAATCAGCGGAGCGTCGATTCCGTCGACTTCAGCGACTGAGCGTGCCTTCAATTTTGGCAACGATAGAACGGCCAGCTTGCAGCAGCTTGCGGAAATTGGTCAGAAGGAGCAGTGGCTCGTACCGATGGAAGACGTGACTATACCTTCAGGTCCACTGCTTGGTGAGGGGGGATTTGGACGAGTTTACACGGGTCTGTACCTGGGAGTCGCAGTCGCGTTGAAATTCCCGAAAGAATCTCTAAGGAGATCCCACGTCGTCTCGATCTGCAACGAGCTGCGCATTCTGCGAAGGTTGAGACATCCAAATATCGTGAGTTTCTATGGAGCCTGCGTGGACATTTCGAAGGGCACCCTAGGACTGATTCTCGATTGTGTGAAGGGGTCCACACTGGGGCAATTCATCCGGAGCAGGCTGGGAGACTCTCATAGCGGCGATGTCAGCTTACAGGACCGTCCGAACGATGCAGTCCGAGTGACGGTGCTTGTGGATATTTCGTCCGCGCTGTCTTATATGCATTCGAGGACTCCCCACGTAGTTCACGGTGACCTAAAAACGTCAAACATATTTGTGGTGCAAGAGTGTTCATCCGCGCCTGTCCGAGCTAAGCTGCTCGACTTCGGTCTTGCAAGAGCTTTGACAAAACATGCGAACCCGTTGGGCGGAACTCTGCGCTGGGCGGCACCAGAGGTCATTCGTGGTCGTGCTGCGCCGAGCACCGCGGCAGATGTGTTCTCATTTGGTCGTCTGATCTTCTTCGTCGCCACAAGCTTGTACCCATTCGGTCGAACCGAGGACTTGCAGCTCATGGAGGGAGCGCAGCCTCAGTCCGAGTTGGCAATGTTGGTCGGCAACGGGCTGGCGGGCAAATGCAGGTGTCTTGTAGAGCAGTGTTGCCAGCTCCAGGTGGCTCCCCGACCGCCCATGCGGCAGGTGCACGCAGAAGTTCTGGGCTGGAGAGAAGGGTGGCCTGATTCAAGGCATCACTCACGAAAGGTAGACCAACATGCTATTCAAGTGCCCGGAGTGCCCATGCTGGCAACTTCCTCGCACAGAGGCAGCGGAAATGCAAGCAGAAGTCTTGCTGCTTCCTCTTTTGCGCCCACACCGAACGAAACGGTTATGGCTATGATTCAGTAGGCTTATGCAAACCGCCGACAAATAGGTGAATCCACGATCTGTTCGTTTTGCGGACTGTCCCATGGTTATCCGGATGTCCAATGTGGGATCACATCATAGATCGTTGATGGTTGATTCGGGGTATTTGCTGGATCATGCCATGGCCATGTATAAGTTACAAGAAGCTCGTAGCACTTGCGAATCCGACGCTTCGGAATATCGGCTCATCTCTGTACTTCGCTGCCGCTTCCTAAGCGGGAGCAGTTCACAAGTGCCCTCAGAAGAGCCGCACAGCATGACACCAATCGGGTCCCCATAGGTTTTCAGGAGTGCTTCTGAAGAGCTTGAAGAAGGCCTTCGAGGGTTCAATACATTCCCGAGAGGGCTTCGTGAGGGCACTTCAGAAGAAAACTCTGGACCCCTCTGCCTTGAGGCTACATGGTGGCCGCCTCGAATGTCGTGACACAAGGAGGCTGCAGGGGGAAACGTCCTTCGTGTGGCCCACACGTCCCACGTTTAATTTTGCATGGGCAAGTTTTCGTTTGCCACGTCGTTGTAATTGGTGTGCCACGTGTCTTGTCAAAGTATATCCTTAGTCTTTGTACTCGTACTCGCTTTCGTACGTGTGACATATCAGATCAACCTTCTTCATGTAATCTACGCTTTGCTCGTGTTGGCATTCGCACTCGCAGTCATGTGGGTACGCATGTGGACTCGCATTCGCACTCGCACTCGTACTCGCACTCGCATTCGCACTTGCCTTTGCATACCATGTAGATTTCGTTTATGTTGTTGCACCTGTTCCATTTTTGCTTTTGTTTCAGACTCCAGGTTGGCATGCGTGCTCGTGCTCGCATTCGTCATGTTCAAACTGCCATTCCCGACTGCTATGGTCTCAAGGTTTTTTTGTTAAGTATCGTATTCGTTGAATTTTTATGTCTACAGAAATTATTGTTGATCCCCCCCGCCCTGTGCACACTGTGTTTTTCAAGGAAAGTCTTGGTCCTCAGACTGCGCCCCTGGCCCCAGCTTTGCAACAACAGCGACTCCCGCCTGATGCGTCCTCCCAATCTATTTCGAATTCGCGCTCTCGCGCTGCGCCTCCTCATACTTTATGCAGGAACCGCGTTCTCGCGTGGTACTTCCTCACAATTTGTTGCCGCGCCGTGCCCCCAAGACTGAGGAAGCACGCTCTCGCTTTGGATTTCCTTACGATTTACTTGGGAATCGCGCTATCTCTCGAAACTTCCACGCGATTCTGTTGGATTGACGCTTCAGCGATCCGCCCGTCCGACCTGCCGTTCGGGTCCGCCCGCCCGACCCGCCCGTCTGGTTCTGCCGCTTGTGCTACTGCTCCTCACCTCCTGGACATCTCCCTCGTGCTCCACACTCCTCCCTTCCCGCTGTCTCTTCCCTCCACCACTCACACGTTTCGAGGCCCCATACAGTCGGGGCCCTGAAGAAGGAACCCTTTTCGTTGGGGAGGGGCTCCGCGTTACTTAAGTGTTTCACAGCTTGCCTCAGGTTTTCCCTAGGTTTTCGATGAGAAATCGAACTTTCACTGATGGGAAATAGGGGCCTCGTCCCTTATTTATCGTTCCTTAGGTCAAGGCCCCGACTGTAGGGAGCACCACCGAATGCCCCGGCGGCAGCGCCCGCATGGCGCCGCCGCTTGCATTTCGGCACACCCCTCGCGCGTTTCGCAGCAGGAGGAGGAGGAGGAGGAGGAGGAGGAGGAGGAGGAGCAGGGTGCTCCACCGCAGACCCAACTGGCAGCACCCGCCAGGCAGCGCCCCGCCCGTTCCGGTCACACCTCACACGCTTCGTGGCCTCATAGAGAGCACCCCACTTCTTCCCACCTGCTTCCTCCTCCTCCTCCTCCTCCTCCTCCTCCTCCTCCTCCTCTTCCTCCTCCACAATAACTCAGTATGAATACTACTCTCCCTCTTCCCCTGAGGACGGCTTGAAAGTGTCCGACCCCCCCCCGCGTATTCTTTTTTTTACACACAGGTTTCCCCGGAGTTGGGTTTTCGCCTGCATTTTTTTTCAAAATGCTGCTCTCGCTGAGGCGCCGGCCTCATTTTCGGGCCCCGCTCGTTCCGAATCGTGCTCCCGCTGCAGCGCTGGCCTCATTTCCGCGCTTCCGCTCGTTCCGAATCGTGCTCCCGCTGCAGCGCTGGCGTCATTTCCCGTGCCATGCCACGGCATGCAATGCAATGCTAGGTTGATACTACGCTTTGCGGTGCTCTTCTACGCCATGCCATGCCGTGCTCTACAATGCATCGCGTGCCTTTTCGGGATCATTGCCCTGCTCGGCATCCGACTGTGCGAGTAGAGAGGGGATCTACGCCATGGTAAGGGATGGGAGGGAGGGGTAGGATGTCAGATATGACGCGAGCGCACCTAGCTTGTCCACCTCCCCCTCCCCCTCCTCCTCCCCCTCCCCCTTCCCCTCCCCCTCCCCCTCCGCCTCCTCCTCCTCCTCCTCCTCCTCCTCCTCGTCCTCCTCCTCCTCCTCTTCCTCCTAAACCTCCTCGCCCTCGTCCTCCCTCCTTCAATCGCACCTGCATATGGCTGGGTCCTTTGCCCGGTCTTGCCAACCCTCCGCTGGCCTCTTGCTCTTGTTTTGAGTAGAGCATCGCGGTCTCCACTTCCTCCCGCCTCCCTTCTTTCTTCTTGTCTCTCTTGCCTCTTGCCTACCTCCTACTTGCCCGCCTCCTCCTGTCTTCTCCGTCCTACCTCACCGTCGCTGGAGGTCTGCGAACTGCGTGACTTCCGCCACCTTCGAGGGCTGCTGGGGCGTACTGGGTACCGGGCGCAGATTCATATCTGACCTCGTAATCCCTTGGGGGCTGCGAGTTTGGAAACTGTTGCCACATTCGAGGGCTGCTGGGGGGCCTAGCGCAGCAACACCTTATGGCGGGCATCGTCATTCCAGGGGGCTGCGAATTGCGACATGGTCGCCACTTTCGAGGGCTGCTGGGGGGGGCGGCCCAGCGCAGTGACTCCATACGGGGATTCAGGTTGTACCTCGCCATCCCAGGGGGCTGCGAACTGCGACACAGTCGTCACTTTCGAGGGCTGTTGGGGCCTATCGCGGTGACGTCGTACGGGGATTCAGATTCGGCCTCGCCATCCCTGGGGGGGCTGCGAACTGCAAAGCCGTCGCCACTTTCAAGGGCCCAGCACTGTGACGCCCTACTTGGATTCAGATGAGACCTCGCCATGCCTAGTGGGCCGCGAACTGCGAAGCCGCTGCCACTTCCGGGGCCTCGCTCGTTTTCTGCTCTAAGTATGAACAGCTGTTCACTCGTGATGCTAATGCGACGTGGCGTCGGCGCCGCTGCACATCAGAAGCCATTTGAAGTATCGCCATCCTTCCTTGTCATCCCTGCTCCCCCGTTTTCGTCCTCTTTCTCATTCCCCCTCCTGCTGCTCCTGCGTTGACTTTTCGGTCCCCCTTCCATCCTCCTCCACCCCCCTCGTTGGCGCTCTCTTCCTTTTCGAGCATGGGGCCTCACTTCTCGTTTTTTTATGGCTGTGAGTCGTGCAACCCGCGGGCATCCCATGTAGCATGCGCAAAGAACAACCGTTCTGCGGTTGTCACCATCCATCGCACTTTGGGCCAACGATTCTGGTCACGTGGTGCAGGTGGGTTGGTTGCGTCGCAGGGTAATCCTCTGTTTGTGCATGCGTTCGGGGCTTTAACTTCGCTGAGGGGAGTGCTTTGTACTTTCGGTCGCGTCCGAGCCTCGGAATCTGTATCAGTATTCTTTTTGTCTTGTTGTTTGAACAGATTCGGGGCGCACCCGTGGACGCATCGATCGTCGCATTCGTTCTCGGATGCGCCCTCCCTGGCCTCAATCGCTGCACAGCACGGTGTTTCGTGCCAGCCCTCGCTTCCCACCTCCTTCTCATATGCGTTTCCAGGCTTGTTTGTGCGGTCGCAGTTGAATCAATCCAAGTTTGCATTAGTATTCGCATTGCGCTTTGCGTTCGAAATCGTTTCTCGCCATCCCTGGAAGGGTGGGGGGGTGCCGCTTTCGAGGGCGGCTGGGGGTGCGGTGCGGATGGGGTGCGGCGTAGTGGGCTCCGAGCGCAGAGTCAGATCAGACCGCACCATCCCTGGGGTGCTGCCAACAGCGAACCTGTTGCCACTTTCGAGGGCTGCGGGGGAGGCGTCGTGCTGGGTGCCGAGTGCAGAGTCAGATCAGACCTCGCCACCCCTGCCAACTGCGAAGCTGTCGCCACTTTCGAGCGCTGCTGGGGGGAAGGGGGGGAGGGCAGCAACACAGCAGCTACAGGGCGCAAAGTCAAATTAGACCTCACCATTCCCGGGGGGGCTGCGACCTGCGACACTGTCAGGCACCGTCGCCACTGTCGAGGGCGGCGGGGGGGGAGGGGAGGGGCGGCACAGTGGGCACCGGGCGCAGGCTCACATTAGACCTCACCCTCTCTGGTGGCATGCGAGTTGCGAAACCGTCTTGGCTTTCGAGGGTACCTCTGGGGCCCCATGGAATATCTAGAGCGCTCGAGGCAGAGAGCCCGAGGGGACCCGAGGACACTCCGCTCGGTGCCCGCGGCACGGTGGCGGTTGGCCCCCAAGATGACCCCAGGACGCCCTCGCCCAGCCCGCCGAGGCACGACACCCCCAGGATCCTCGTGGACGGGAAGCATACAGTCGGGGCGCTGAGGACGGAACCCTTTTCGTTGGGGAGGGGCTCCGTGTTCCTTGATTGTTTCACAGTTTGCCCCACGTTTCCCTTAGGTTTTCGAAGGGAAGTCGAAGTTCAACTTCTGGAGAAAAGGGGCCTCGTTTCTTATTTAGGGTTCCTTAGGTCAGCGCCCCGACTGTATCCATGTCCGCGGCCTCGCGGGCTGTGGGCCGCGCGATGCGGGCGGGCGCTTCCTCGGATCGCCCCGCGCGGGAAGCGTCCGTGCGGCCATGCAACCGCGCATCCACGGGATCGCGCCCCGGGATACGGACCGCGAGGGCGTAGGTCGACTAGACGTAAGAGTGACCTTTCGCCGGAGTGACCTTTGGTGCGGGTGCAGATGGGCCCTCAGATGGCTGAAAACGAAGCGGTCGCAGCGGCTTGCGCGCCCAGGTTTGGTCTCCCCCCGGCCCCCAAAAAGCCGCGCACCAAAGGTCACTATTACCCAGGGTCACTCTTGCGTGTAGCCGAGTAGGTATTGACGTGTTCGCTGTTCGTGAGGTCCCATGGCGGGGTTTGACACGATACGCGGCCAGCCGTCTGCCGTGGAGGAGCGCAACAGAGACGGCAGCTGTGACATTTGCAGGAAGGCATGTCGCGGACTGTTTCGCACATTCGACACGGGTATGAAAGCTATTTCATTCCGATCTATAGAGGTTTCCAATGAAGTTTTAAACATGCCCCGAACTGTTCGGCAATCTCTGTGCAATTGCCAGAGATCCCATCGCCCTAACCACACGCGCAAGGTAGTGTTCAAAGGCGGGGCAGGGGGGACGCACCACACGCCTGGTGACCTCTGGCGGGGTCGGCGAGTCACTGAGCTGCTGGTCTCATGCAATGTGACCATCGATGCAGAGGCATGCTGCTTCTACCATGGTGCGCTCGTGAGCCTTCGCCACCACTGCAACGAGCTCCGCGAGCGCCCGTGCTGGAATCGCACTCCAGCGGACATTCAGAACACGCAGTGCCAGCAGTGTGGGGTGCTTGCGCTGGTGCAGACACCCCCTTCAGGCGACAGCAGTTACAGGTGCTTCTTCTGTGATGGCCTGTATGACCAAGGCTCAGAACATCAAACAGCCTCGGAGGTCTCTATATAGGCTCACAATGTTTAACAGCCGCCGTCGTTGAGGAGGAGGAGGAGGAGGAGGAAGAGGAGGAGGAGGAAGAGGAGGAGGAGGAGGAGGAGGAGGAGGAGGAGGAGGAGGAGGAGGATGATACCATCTTCGAGCGGCGCGGCACGGCCAGCTCTGAGAGCGCTCATGCTCTCAACGTCCTCCTGAATCTGCAGGAATCCTGCTGAGCGTGTCGTTCACCCTGTCGAGGAGGAGGAGGAGGAGGAGGAGGAGGAGGAGGAGGAGGAGGAGGAGGAGGAGGAGTCGATCCGGGTCGGACCGGCCGGGATTCACAGCGGACCGGATCGACGGGAGCGACCCTGACGCCCCCTCCGCGCCGCAGGGTGTGGGGGGGAGCCGCGTGGCGCCAGTCCTGTCTTGCTTTCCCAGTCGATTTTGGATCTCTTCCCTGCTGCTGCTGCTGCTGCTGCTGCTTTTCCCGCCACTGTAGCTGCCGCCCTCGCCCGAGCCGGTGGCCCTGATCAGCAAGGCACGGGCATGCAAGCCCCATTTGTGGGGCTGCTGCTCTGAGGGGGCTGTGCCCAGGCAAGGCTGCAGCACCGCTCAACGATGTGTTTTTCATCGAGCCTGCAGGGTGCGCCCTCCCTTAGTTTTGGCTTAGGCTTCAGCCGTGGATGCACTGCGCTGCGCCTTCGGGCCTGCTCGCAGGCATGCTCATCTAATCGGGCCAGCTCTGAGAGCACCTTCGGGCTTGTTCACTGGCGCGCTCATCTAGGTGTCTGCCCACCTCGGCAGAGGGCTGATAGTGTGATAGTGCTCATCTACGCACTTGCTCAGGCCACGCCATGCCTCTACCTGATGGTTCGAGCCACGCTTCACGCCTGATTTTTGAGGCCACGTTGTACTACCTCTTTTTCTAGGCCATCCTTCAATCATGCGCCCTTGGCAGCCCTGCTTCGGACTGCATGTCCTGAGCGGCGAGAGCCCGGTCGCCGCCTCTCTCCTCGTCCTTCTCCCCCCAACGACTACAACGACGAGGGAGGAGGGAGGACGGCGACGACGCGAACGACGAAGAAGGATGAAGGACGGCGACGCCGACAACGACAACGACGAGGGAGGAGGGAAGACGACGACGACAACGACGACGACGACGACGACGGCGACGAAATAGGAGGGACGACGACGAGACGCCGACGACGGACGACGACGACGACGAGGGAGGAGGAGGAAGGACGACCACGGCGACAACGACGACGGAAACCACCACGACGCCAAAGAGGGCGATGACGACGAACACGAGGAAAGACAGAGGACGACGTAGGCGACGACGACGACGACGCGGGAGGAGGGAGGACGGCGGCGACGACGACGACGATGACGACGACGCAAGAGCGCGCGCGCACGCTTTTGTTGAAAATCCGTGTTGCGAAACCTTGGGTTTTGTAGGTTTTTTGGACACACGGTTTTGAAATCCTTCAGGAACCGATGGGTTTTGAAGGATTTCGGCATACGCGCGCGACGACGCGCGCGTCTGCACTTCGTCCCAATTTTTTGCAGAGGATTCTCGCGACAGCACACGCGCAAGGGCGTTCGACAGATTTGAGAGAGCGTGATCCATCGCCGCTTTACTTTGGAAAATTGCCAACCTTTTCCTCCGGAACCCGGGGGTCGCCCCCCCACCCCCCCTCCGAAAATCCCCCCCCCCCCCTGCTGGAACCCTCCCCCCCCCCCCTCTCTCCCACGGCAAAAACCCACCCCTCCCCTAACCCCTCCCCCCCCCCCCTCCTCCCGCTCGAAAAAGGGGGGGGTCACTACCGGTTCGAACCCCTCCCCCCCCCCCCCGGATCCCCGGCGGGGTCACTACCGGTTCGAACCCCTCCCCCCCCCCCCCTTACCCTTCGATCCGGAAAACCGGAGGGGGTACTACCGTTTCGAACCCCCCCCCCCCCCGTACTCACCGCCAGCAAACGACTCCCGGTCCCCACCACCGTCCGCATCACATCCCCCACTGGTGTTCCCAGCACCACTGTCCTCACCACCGCTGTCCCCACTGGTTCCACCACCGCCCCTACTGTCCCCACCAGTGGCCCCACCACTGTCGCACTGTCCCCGCTGTCCCCAGAACTGTTCCCACCACGGTTCCACTCTCCCCACTGTCTCCACGGCCCCAACCACTGCCCGACTATCCCCACTGTCCCCGCTGTCCCACTGACTCCTCCGCTGTCCCACTGAGCTGTCCCACTGTTCCCACCACTGTCCCCACTGTCCCCACCACTGTCCCCACTGTACCTCTGTCCCATTGTCCCACCGCCGTCCTCGCCACCGCCTTCACCACTGTCCCCACCACCATTGTACCCTCCACTGTCCCACTGTTTCCACCTCATTCCCATTGTCCCCACACCACTGTCCCCACCACCACCGTCACCACCACTGTCCACTGTCCCCCCCTGTTCCCACCATTGTCCCCACCACTGTCCCCACCACTACCGTCCCCACCACTGTCCCACTGTCCCACTGTCCCCACCACTGTCCCGCTATCCCCTCACCACTGTCCCCACCAACACCGTCCCCACCACTGTCCGCACCCCCACTCGGTTTTCGAGGGGGGGGGGGTCGAACCGGTAGTGACCCCCCCCGGTTTTCGAGGGGGGGGGGGGGAGGGGTTCGAACCGGTAGTGACCCCCCCCCCTTTTCATGATGAGCTGGGGGGGGGAGGGGTTCGAACCGGTAGTGACCCCCCCCGGTTTTCCGGAGGGGGGGGGGGGAAGGGGTTCGAACCGGTAGTGACCCCCCCCGGTTTTCCGCCAGCAGCGGTAGAACACGCTCTTTCACAGATTTCGACATGCGCGCGCGCGAAGCCCGTTTGGTAGCATTTTGTGAAAATCTGGAAAACCTGTGGTTTTCTTAAGATTTCAAAAGAGCTCGCGCGGAAGTTTTTTTTTTTTTTTTTTTTTTTTTTTTTTTTTTTTTTTTTTTTTTTTTTTTATATATATATATATATATATTAAAATAAAAAATATACGAGATCAGTGTTGCGAAACCCTGTGTTTTTCCATGCTTTTTGGAGACTCGATTGCGAAATCCTTCCGGCACCGAAGGTTTTTGAAGGATTTCGGCATGCGCGCGCGACGACGCGCGCGTGTGCACTTCGTCCCGTTTTTTGCAAGGGATTCGCGAAACAGTGTTATGCTAGAACAAAAAATGTCACCGCATAGTGTTTTTTACAAGGGACCCTCACGGGGGGGGGACAGCGGCCCCCCGGGGATAGTGTAAATTCGTTATCAGGATGGACATGTGGTCAGAATCATACATGATTCACATACCCGAAGGGGGGGGGGGGGCGATAACGCCGGGGGGGGGGGATAGATCCTATTCTGTTTTAATCAGGGAAGGAGAATTTATGTTGTGTATTCTATGTTGTTCGGTATGTGTTGCGCAATCTATGTGGAGCGGCGACGGGGCGGCGACGGCGGTAACAACTGCGGCGACCTACAGACAGGCACAGGCGACGGGCGGCGACGAGGCGGCGACGGCGGCCATATAGTTGCCAGCCCGAAGACACGGCCCAGTTCATGAAAACAAATAAGAACCCGTAAGTGCAAGCACTGTTCGGGGAATATTCAATCCCCCTCGTCTCCCCTGGCGCTGCATTGGCGCGCCCTCAATTACGCATCTTCCTTACTTTCGCAACAGCGGAGCTGCTCGCAGTTTGCTGTTTCGTTGCCCGCGCAAGTGCTTTTCAGATCTTGCCCGCGCAACTCATTTTCAGCCGCCTCGTTTCTCGGCCTGCTTCCCGCCGCCATGCGCTTCACCGTTTCACCGGGCACCGTCTCCATGCCTTCGCTCGACGCCCGTGGGCTGCAAAGCAGAAGCCCTCCAATAGTCCCCTTTCTTGCGCCGTGCCTGGCGCGTCGAAAAAAGTCGCGCCACCTTGGATTGCCCAAGGCGCCCTCGTTCTGCAATCGCCCATCTTCTTCAGGCCCCCATGGATTCGCGCAGGTTCCCCAGGGCCACGTCGGCATTTCCCGAGGGGCCTTTAAAAGGCGCCCTCGCAAGCCTTACGATTTGCACCACGTAGCTTGCACCACACAGGTTGCTTGAAGTAGATTGCACCAAATAGGTTACGCGGCATAAATTGCACCGCGTAGATCGCATCACGTGGATTTCATTGATTAGCATGCTAAAACATACTTGAAGGGGTCGACGCTGGCACCACATAGCATGCTAGAATACACTGTTTGGGGTTCACGCTGGTTGGGGTGCGAGCTCGGCCGAGCCCGCGATCTTGGCCCCAGGCCCGGTCGGGGCCTTCTGTGCCCCCAGCGATCACGACGTATCCATGTTTTGCGCTGGGGCGCATGGTTGTATCAACGTTCCGTTCGACTGGCTCACGGGGCTCAGACCGTCTCTTGACTCCCACATTCCGTAGTCATGCTGGCTCGAGGACTCGAGGGAGCCTCAGCAGTCGGACTGGCCCAGTTTCTCTGGATGGACCTCCAGGCAGCTGCTCGGAACGCGCTGAGCCGTCCGGGGGGCGGGGCCGGAGATGCAGAAGAGGCGCGCCGCGCCAGGGCCCTCAAGGCGGGCGCGAGCAGGCGCCCGCGGGCGCGGCCGCCGCGGCAGCCCGTCGGGCAAGGCGAGAGGCCTCGCTCGAATTCGAGACGGCGGTCGCGGCGCAGATCGCCACTCGCAATGCGGACTCATCCGAACGAGCAGTGGACGTGATGAGCACGCGCCAGGAATCCCG